CTCCTTTAAAATTCTTAGTGTTTTTAGTTATTTTACCATGTAATATTCAGTTGATAGTCATTGTCACACACCTAACTGAAGCTAATTAAAAAAGTTTACAGTTACACATGGCTTAATTGGAAATGCAGAGCAGAAACACAGTTTCCATTCCATTCATAACTTTGGTCAAATTCCTTTTGGAGGTATTTTAAACTGCCTGTAGTATTGATGCATATAGTTAAATAGCAAAGGATTATAATTACAGAAACAGGCAGCAGTTTTTCTGGATTGTGTTTGGTGTTTTGTGTTTTTTTTTTCTTATTATTTTAACTTGCATTTGTGCATGCTGTGATGACGTGTTCTCCTGAGCACACATATTAATTTCCTTTGTAAAATTATTTGTAGAATTTTCTATTTTTAGTGGAGTGCCTCTGAATTTGGTACTGTAGATGATGACATTTCTCTAGGATGTTCCTCTGATGCCAGGTCATGATGCCAGTTATCGTAAAAGTTTTTTAAGCATTACAAACTCCCTTTAGCCCTCTCCCTAATTTTTCTGAAACATTTTGCTGGCATAAAATTCAAAGCCAGTTTTAATTTTTCACATATTTCTCAATGTCATAATTTAATATGTTGTCTTTTTATTTTACTCTCTGCTCTACTAAAGTAGTGTTGCAGGATTCAGTTCAAAATAATTCTTAATTATGTTATAATTACAACCCTGCAATTTACTGACTGTGTGAAACCAGGTGCTTTAGACTTCTTTTTCTTTCTGATTGGTTGCCTCCATAAATACAGCTGTCAATAGCAGATGCAGTGGCTTGTGTTCTCACAGCCAGGGCTGTGTTGCTGTGATGACCAGGTTAGGGATATGTGTTTCCAAAGACATTGCACAAATATTTTTAAAAAAAGAAGAACGAGAAGAAGTCAAAGCTCACAGCAAAGCTCACATGGATAATTGTATACGCTGACAATGCCAGTTAAGTCCAAGTTAAGTCTGGACAGAACAGACACCCTAACATTAATTCAATTTAATTTTATTTCTATAGCACCAAATGGCAACAGCAGTTCCTTCAAGGGGTTTAATGTTGGTAAGGTAAAGACCCAACCATTATACAAAGAAAACATAGAAAACCCGAACAATCATGAGTAAGCACTTTAGTGACAGTGGGAAGGATAAACTCCCTTTTGACAGGAAGAAACAGCAGAACTAGGTCCATGGAGGGGCGACCGCAACTGGTTGGGGTAAGGGGGGGAAGAAAGGACAAAAGACATGCTGTGAAAGAAACCAATAATTAAAAATAAAGAGAGGTGCACATTAACCAAATATGAGTTGTGATTATGAACTTATTCAATATTGTCTTATTTTAGAATTTGTAGTACTCATTTACCTCATGTTTTTGATACTTCTTTGTTTTTACTTACTGTTACACAACATTCATTGTATAAATCTACATAACCGATAAGGCATGCAAAATGCAGCACCTACATGTGCTGGCCAGCAGGAATGAAAACAGCAAGGAGTCGGACAAACACATTACAGTTATTTGCAAACCATTGCATTCTGTTTTTATTTACATATTTCACGGCATCCCATGTTTTGGAGACAGTTGTGGTGTATCCATACATATATTAGTCAGAAGCAATTAGCAGACACTTCCTATGAGACCTTATGGTGAGCAATCAGAAGATAAGGATCTCAGATGGCTTCAATTTTTTTCACCCAGGTTGTTCTGTAGAGTACATAACTACCCTATTTTCCTCTTGTGGAGAGCCCTTCATCTGAAATGGGAACACTTACCCAAAATGAGCCCCACATCTAAGTACTGTGTATGGATGGGACAGGCCTCTTGACTGAAGAAGTGCTATTAACCAATTTGACATACTAAGAAGTCTCCTTTCTAATTTCGAATAATTCTTAGTGGAGGAGGTGAGGTTGAGAGCTTCGCTGTAGAGCTACTCAGCCAGAGATCAAAGTGCCAACCCCCAAGTGGATTAACGGCTGCTCCCGGGGTGATCACACCTCACACACTCAGGTATACGCACAGCGACCCTCGATGTGAAGTGGATTTCTTGTTCTTTTTTTAAAAAGGATTACCCCAACACACACATGCACGCGCCCTCACACACTGAAGGCAAATAAAAATAGGGATGAGACCACCTCCGCGGTTCAGATTTTCTCAAACTTGACAAAGTGAGGCTGGTTTTAGTTAGAAGCAAAGGAGGGAGGTGTGAGGAGGAAATAAAATGTGAGGCATATATCATCCCTAATGTGGTGATATGTTATACAGCAGTATTTTGTAATGGCATGTATTCATAGTGTCAATGGCTCTGTTAAAGTGACAGGAGTTATCCTGTTAAATTATAGCTCTAATCCCTGCCATCAGTAAAGCTTCACTCTAATATCACTAATGGCCAATATGGTAATTGTACCACATTAAAGGACTCACAGGATGTCTTTGGGAAAATTTATGACAATGTTTTGGTTTATGAGTTCTTACACATTCTTGTCCAACTTTAGTAATTTCCATAATTGTGTTTGACACACTTTGGCTTAATGTGATGCATTAAAGAGTGGCACAAACAGATTCTGTGTATCTATTAAACGCTTAACTGCTTGTTTCTAGATATGCTACTGCCACTGTAAGCTCAGCATTCACACATAAAAGCTGGATCAGGTGAATAATTTATGATTCTCGTTCCTCTCTGTGAGAGCATTACACAGTCTGAGTCTGATATAAAAAAAAAAGAAAGAATAAATATGTTCTGTTGCTGCAGTAAACTACAAGGCAGGCCTTAATTGTGCACTGCTGAAATTTGAATGTGGAGCTGCATAAGCTGGTGGTGCCTCTGCAGTAGTTCTATGCACTGATCCACCAGTGTTTCCCCCAGCACAGGCAGAAGCCAACGAAGTTATCTTACACATGACAGCTTCAGTCTGCTTTGGGATGGCTGAATAATTCAAAGTTCTTACACAGGACCATCTGGCAGGCCAAAGACACCAGCCTTCCTCAAATAGCTTTTGTAAAGCTCGTGTTGGGTGAAACAGCAGGACCGCTGCACAAGCAGACTGAGCTGCTTACCAGCAAAATGAAATATGCTGCGTCAGACTGATGGCTAATTTGTGAGCATATAGGCAATCAAGGCAATTAAGCTCAAATATTGTTGATAGGACATAAAGCCCATTTTCACTTTGCCCTCAGGCTGTACATCAGCTGAGATGTCAAATATGTCTCAATTTCTCACACCCTGCAGAGTTTGCAGAATATCGGGAATAAAGATATCATTTTGAACAACAGACATTTGCACTAGCCCACCGTGTGGACTACACTGCTGCATAAAAATCTACGCAACAGATGTGTGCATACAAAATGCAGCACCTGCATGTGCTGGGTAGTAGGAATGAGCACCTTCCAACAAAAAAGGTACCCAAAATTTTGTCCTGTAAGCTGCTTGAAGAAGCCTATTATGAAGTAAGGTAGGGATATATATACTTCAGTCAATTGCAAGCCAATACCATGCATAGCTAAAGTAGTTTTAAGATTTTAGAAATAGCAACTTAGAAGTGGCTGTGGCTCAGATGGGATAGGGAGGGGTCTACTAATCGGAAGGTTAGATCTTGATCCCTGGCCCCTTCAGTCCTTATGTGTAAGTATCCTTGTGTAAGATGCTGAACTTCAATTTTCACCCAGTACACTAACTGGCAGTGTGTGTGAATGTGCATGAATGTTAGATAAATTGTTTATGCATAATGTAAAAGCACTGCATGAATGAGTTTATGAATGGTTGAAAGAGGCCTCTAGGCTTTGAATTCTCAGTTAGAATAGAAAATCATCATATAATACCGTTTACCAACCTAAACGTAACACCAGCTTAAAGGTTATGCAGTAACAATGAGTTTTCAAGCAGGAGCTTTTTGTCTGCACTCACTATCTATTCATGCTGTAAGATCACAGCCAGTTATTTAAGTTACAACTCTCTTACCGGTTTATCAACATTTAAAGTAGTATTACATTTAGCAACAGTTCACAAGTAATTTAGGGTCACATAAAACAAGCCTATGTGAGTCACAAAAATTTATAAAAGAAAAAGTTTTTTTTAAAAAAAAAGAAAGAAGTAAAATAATGATTAAAAGCAACAACAAAATGGATATGTGTAATAGACAGTCTCTTCCTTTATGCCCTTTAGTTAAATGTCTTGTCAGCATGAGATAGACAGACAGCCTATCATGTTATCTAACACGTATTTGCTATTGCTTGTGTGATTAGATTGGCAGGAAAAAGTTATTTACCTCTAACGCGTAACGCCATACTCTTTAAATTTGCTTCAAGTTGCTCCAAATTTGGTTTTACCCTAAGATTTTTTTTCCCCATTATCATTATTTTTAAAACAACACATAAAATAAATAGAATATAATTAGAATATGTAATCTTTCTATCTAACAGATGGACGCAGGGAAAATAATCCCTACGTGCTCTCAGAATCACTTCTGCGCTTTTAGAAACTTTTGTGACGTCCTTGCATCCAACATCGTTGCGCATCCGCCCTCCCTCGCCCTCCTCCTTCTTCAGAAATACGCCCCGGCTCCGTCCGTGCCGCCTCCACCAGTCAGAAGCGGTACGGGGTGAGCTCCACGCGTCTCCGCGGCGGAATTGCTACTGAAGGGCACCGCGATGAACGTGGACTTCAGAAAAGGCTTCAACTAACAGGGATCCGCGTAAAACGAGAGGAGAGCTGACGCTGTGCTCACCGGCGGGCGCAGGCTGAGAGTTCCGTTCTGCGTGTTTTTATGATTATTATTTTTAATCTCGCACCTGCTCACGCGCACTGAGCGGAACATCCCGAGTCGGAGCCAACTTGCACTACCGCACTTGCCAGTAGTTGTCCCATAAGGAGCCGAACCTGCGAGCTTACGGGGGATGCTGAGAGGGTTTCTGATCTCCGTTACTGCTCCTGCTGAGCGCCGGGCTGGAAGGGTAGCTGGCGTGTCCTGGGGAGGATGCTGAACAGGTAAACACAAGCTAAGGAAAAAAAAAACGTTCTTATATTAACACTTTGCCCGTTATTTATCCTCAGCCTTGCTGGAGCTGTAGGAGGTGGAGAGGGTTAGTCCAGATTAGCTCTTCTTCTGCCTCTCGACCTTCCTGAACTTGTTTGCTTGTATCTGTGCACAGTCACTCTCATCGCAGGTGATTTATTATTGTCTCAGGCGGCAGGTGCTATTTTCATTGCTGCTGCTTGTCATCATTACTCTACATTTACCATCTTATAGCGCTTTTGTTAGTAGCTAAGTGCTTAAAGCTCTGTGGCAGTCTGTGAGAATGAAGATGAAAGGTAGAGTGTGGAGCAGTCAGTGACATTAGGTTAAGGGCTTAGGTTTAATGTCAACAGGAAAATACTGCTGCCCGTGGAAGCTCTTCAGTATCCTTGCTTGTCTTGGCTCAGCCAACTGTATTTCAGGCTTGAACATCCATTGCTTGCAGTGTTGGACTTCACACCATTCAACAGCTCTGAGACTGGAAATGGAAAAAGTCATTTACATAGCACTTCACTAAAATTACGCTACAAGCCCAATTCTCCTGTATAAAGCACTTAATTCTATGCATTTTAAGCATGTCATCTCACACTGACAGTTTACCTAACATGCATGTCTTTTATTCATAATGCTCTGAATAAAAAAAAAAAAAAAATTGGGAAGTACCAGCAATATCTGCGAATCAATTTCCCGTCAGGGACAATAAAGTTACCATTGACCATTGACCATATCTGTTGTTGCTGTGGATTTTCTCACAAATTAAGTTGTTTTGTAACTTGTACCGGTACAAGTCGATATGTTAGCTTTGCAGATCTGAGTGCCGTGGTTAAATGAATCAGCTTGATTCCTCCGGCAGAGGAAGACAAATCATTTTTCTAGGCTATGTTTTAATATTACTGTCATAACTTTGTGTTTGTTTGTTGCATTTTGTTTAAGAAACAAGATTATAAATTTACTGAATTGGTATTTATTAGTAGGGCTGGGCAATATGACCTCAGATCAAATCACCGTTAATACATATGCATACAGAGTTCTTGCGCTCATAGTTCACTAGGTTTTTACTGAAGCTGAGATATTTTTTTCTGTAATATGATTGAGCTCCAAATTTAACATATTGGTGATAATCACAAAACAATTTTTTTTTTACAGTTGTTGGTTGTCTTTGTTTGATGTTGTCTTTACTAAAGTCAAACAATGGACATTGTTTTTGTATTTGGTACAAAGTACGCAAGTTGGGCAATCGGCTTGGTGTTTGACTTTTCCTCCTTGGTGTTTCCACGTCACAGACTAGATAAGGCAGTCCTGTTACAACACACACAGTAGTATGTATAATAATGGGGGGAGTATTAATTTAATTGAAAAGGTTCTGAATGTCAGTTTTTATGCAGTTTTGATTAATTGTCTGTCCCATTCTTCAAACTAGCATCAGTTGCTAAAGTTAACAAAAGACAAGGTAACAAGTGAAGGGAAACATTCACAGGGATATGATTCTAACCCTTTAAGTGGAATATATTTTTTATGACATTGTAAATACTATTATGTGCTTGCTGACTGGTACACGTAAAGTCTTTAAGCAATAACACTATTAGTTAAGCAAAATTGATCCAACCACACTATCAGAGTATGTAGAAAGCGAAATGTAGAGAAATTCTTGTCATGTGTTCCACTCAGTTTCAAAGAATTTTGGTCAGTTCAGGATGAACAACTGAATCGACACTGTCTGTTGTGATACATGGCTACCATTTATGCAGTCCTGCTGTTGGTCCACTGTTCAGACAGCGATCTTATAATCAGTGTGTATTAGTAATGTTTATAGAAATCATTGGTAATGTTTTCACAGTACTGTAGCATGTGGGTGCAGGAATAATTTGTCTGATCCGTCAAACTGTCGAAATACGTAAAAAGTGCTCTGTTGTGTTTGTTTCCTCTGAGGACTTTTTCTTCATTATGCCCATTAAGAAGAGAGAGCAAATTATGCAGTCACAGTGCAAATATATTGTTTTGCACTCCCCAATTTTAATCTGCCGATTATAAGTGAAAATATTCTGGTTATGCAGGATCCCACCCAAAAAACAAAACAAAAAAACCCCAAAAAAACAAAACAGGCCAATAAAGAAGTTATCTGTCATTCTCTATGACTTAAAAACTGGGTTTGCTTGTAAATTGCAGTAGTACCACTAATAACAAGACCATATATTTCTAGTTTTAACTCAGTAAAGGCTAACGAAATGCATTAATTAACTGTTGTAGCTTTTGTCTAAATTCTAAAAAAAAAAAGCTGCATGAAGCAAATGCTGTTATGACTGCACAAAGATTACTTTTTTCTTGAATGTTATTCTTTTCTTCCATCATTATACAGTATCACATATCAATAGATCCACACCTCAATGTACACTCATATGCAGCTGAAATAGAAAGTACATTTTAAATGATAAGTTAGTAATATTTCCACCTTTATATAAGACTTGGATGTAGGCAGCATGATGTCATCCACTGAACATATAAGTAATTTTGTGAAGCCTCAAGCTGAGTGTTTTCGTCCTAGCCATCTTGGCTTTTTTCATCCCAGGTGTTATGAGCGCAGTGCGAAGCTGGCTGAGACATCCAACAATGTTGCATGCTCATTGGAGAACAAGTATAGTATATTATTGTTTTATCCTTGTTTTCAGACTCAGTAAATTAATATTTTTTCTTAACTGGTTATCCACTTCAGGTTCATGAAGGGGCATATTATATTCCTGCTTTCATGGGGTAAAAGGGAGAGACCAGTCCATTATAACTCTAACACAGTGAGAGACATGGCCATTTTAGAACCATCAATTAGCCTAACAAGCAAAGGAAATCAAACAAGGTAAAATATTGTCAAATAGAAATAGAGAATTGAAAAAGGCTTTCTAAATGTATTTCAAGAATTTTAACAAGGTCTTAGAGCAAGAAAACTGAGGGGTTATTTTCTTAGACATCTATTTAACCATGAGTAACCACAGGAGGTACCCCTGCTGGCCATGAAAGAAGCACAGGTGTAAGGCTCTACAGCATAAAGTTGATTAAACAATTTCTGATTTAATTACTTAAAATGATTGTCATTAAAATCCCTCAAACATGTTGTCAGTTACATTGAATGGCATTGAACAACTGGTTCTCATACTGTAACTGGTTCTTTTAATTTGATTTAAAATTGTAAAGTAAAAAGTCTGTGAAATACTAAATGCTAAACTTCCTCCTGGATTTGATCTCAGTGTCCACACTGGGTAATGTCAAACACTGTATTGGTTTAATGACTTGCATAGTCTGTATTTACTGCAACCTACAATTTCTGTTTCACCTTAAAATGACACCGATATATCATATTCTTGAGCATGGATCTCATCAGTGGGTAACTGTAGATGTGTTCCCGAAGGTCTGATTTGAGTTATCAGAGGTCATGATGGCACAAAGCTAGCAGCAGCCAGGACAGCATATTGCTCTATTCATCTTAATAACTCCTGTGGGCAGGGTGGCCGCGAAAGTTGAGGAAGGGCCTGAAAACTCTCTCCTGTGACCTTCTGAGAGAAACAAATGGAGCAGCACATGGCTGGCAGACGATCCAGTTGAGCTGCCAACTGCAGTAAAACTGTGAAAAGAAAAGCGAACATGAGAGAATTAGTCTATCGGTCTGATTTTACAGAACCTTCTACACTACATTGGTTTGACCTCTTACTCAACCACACATTATATTTCGCTCACGTTTGTCTTTGTAGAAGCACTAATTGAATTCATCCAATATTAAGGAAAGGACCCACATACTATACCAACTTGACCTTGGCTAAGAGTTGCTAACAACTTGCGTCAAAGTGAGGCCTGCTGTGCCATCACTCCACATTCATGATGGTCAATCTCCTATTTCTAATTTAGAAAATATGTTTGGGTTACTGCAACATGGATTCATTTCTTGCTTACTAAGCAATTATGGTGGCAGACACAAAGAGAGAAGAGGAGGGTAACTATAGGATTGAAACCTGAGGATGGTGCAGGAATTTGTCAGCCCTCTGCACTGACACCATTATCCAAGACAACTTCTCACGGATGGTGATATATGACTAAGGTGACCATAATCATTATTCACAGAACAGTCTTCTTCTTCTTCTTTTCCCTGGCATCCCTTCATCCTGGGTCTGATCAACTGTGTTCCATTATGCTGCTGTAATGATTTGTGGAGGTCTGTGTTGCTGTAGCATTTGAAGGACGGTGTGTTGCAGAGCTTTCCAAAACAATATCATAACCCATATCCATTAGCCATATGGGTTCCATTCCCCAGATTTGCTTGATGCAATTTAGGTGTCCTCGCACAGTAGACCCATGTGACACGCCTAGGATTCAATTAATTAGACGGTATTGTTTTCTTTTTCTAGCTTTTATACCCTACTTTAAATGGTGGTTTCCACTTTGTATGTCCTATGGAAAAAGCTGATGATTTTCTTTGAGATTACTTTATTCATTAAATATTTAATCAGTGGATTTAGCAAAAACAAGGCTACCACAGTTTATTAAATAACTACTTCTTTTTCTGTATTGATTGTAATGGTCAAAAACTACGTCAATATGGCGTATGGGATATGCTGCATCATATCTTGACAAATACATGACAAATTGAAATAAGAAAAGTGGACATTGTTTTAAAGTTCTCTATTACATATTACAAACTAATCCCAATGTAGATTTTCTTTTAGATCCAGGGACTCGTTTTATGTATGCTGTTTAAAGCACTGATGGAGGTTTGCAGTATTGGACTATTCTTGTACTTGGACCTCAACCACGTAATTACAACATCAGCTAAGGTCCTGCAGTAATTGCTTTTTTTCTTGCTCTCTTTCAGGGGAGTGATTTGCTGATACGTCATATACGGCAGAATGAAATGGCATTTTATCAAATTACCACAACAGGTAAATTTTTGCCAGGGACACACAGACACATTCTTCCTCTTTCTGCAGTGTATAAAGAGAAAACACAAATACTGAATAAATAACAATATTAAATTGTAGTTTACCTTAGAAACCTACTGCTTTCTGATTATACACCACTAATAAAGGCTGCATTTCATGGATGGACTTTAGCATGGGTAGTTTTAAGCTTGAACATTTTCAAAGAAATTTTGAAACACAGGCTCTGTGTTCCTAACACTCGCCCTAGTTTTCCATTACAATAGTAGAATGTTCCTATAAATTTTGTATCATTAGCAAACAACAGTGTGGGAAAGAAACAATATTTGTCTTCATAAATGTTATAAAAATATTTTGTCTCTATGGTTTATGTTGCAATGAGTCTTGGTAGTTACAAAAACAAAAAATTGTTTTCTGTTCATCCTTTTTAATTTGAGCGTAATGTAACTGATGAGGAAAACATCCCGGACATTGTGCCTTCCTTCTCTCACCACAACCGGTCGTGGCAGATGGCCGCCAACCCTGAGCCTGGTTCTGTCAGAGCTTTCTTCCTGTTAAAATGAAGCTTTTCCTTTTCTCTGTCGCCAAAGTACCTGCTCATGGGGTGGGGGGTCATATGATTTTTGTGTTTTTCTCTGTATGTATTTTTGTAGGGTCTACCTTATAATATAAAGCGCCTCGAAGCGACTGTTGATGTGTTTGAAATTTATTCAGAATGTCCATGAAAATGGAACACGATCACAGGTGGTGACATGGGACAGAATTATTGCTGACTTTGCCACAACTTGTCCTTTAGGACAAATGAAAGTAAGGAGATTTGTTATGAAGAGCTCCCATTTCTGTTATCAACTGTTTGAACTAAGCTTGTGGTTCAAACTCATTGGTATTACATGAGAACAAGCAAGTCAAACAGTGCTTGCCATGCTCTTAGCCAGGCAGTGCTTGCCTCATCAAATTTAAAAAGATACATAAATTAAAACATACAAACAACCATAAATTCAAAAACAGTGCTGTCATAAAGCTCCTCACCTATTTGCGTTCATCCCATGCATTACTTCTATCTTGTGTCTTTGGCTGCAGTTGACTATTATACTGAAAGCCCTGCTTGTTTTGTACTCTTGAAAATTGCAAAAAGTAGGTGTGTCTGTCTCCTGAGCTGAGTTGAGAGCGCAGTAGCTTTTTTTTTGGTTTGCTCATGCACATTGTGGATAAACCTCTGGTCTTTCACAGGAAACTGATGACCAGCGTGTGTGGCAAACTGCTGCAGGCCCTACTTTCATTGCTCTGAGATCAGTTGCAATCTGCGCTTTGTGTGAAAACACAGCTAGCATAAGCAAGTAAATGAGTATCAGTGATTTATCATTGTAACAGATGAGTTTCCTCTTACTACCTAACAACTTAACTACTTTGGTCAATGTGTGATGGAGTGTGAAAAAGTTGTTAAAAAGGTCTAATGATGATGGAGAGGGACAGTACCTCTGACCATGTGCAGGCTCAGCAGCACTTTCAGATTAGCGTCTATGAGAAAGCACTTGGTTGACTGAATGTAACAAATTTAACCAGCTGTCTGTGAACACTGCACCTTCATTTTTCATTAATATTATTTTCGATATTTTGGATATTGATAGTTAATGATGTGACACACAGCTCAAGCCTTTTAATTCAAATTATTTTTAATTATTATATTTTAATACACTTAAAAAAAATCATGATGTAGACCTGCAACTGTTTTTACTTTTGATACCTTATGTCTCGAAAGCCAGGGATTGAACTCAGAATCAGAATCAGAATACTTTATTGATCCCCAGGGGAAATTATGTTGGTTACAGTGCTCCAGTACAAACAGTAACAAAAACAGACAATACAAGAAGTAAGAAATAACACAATATATAGAATATATACATATATATATAAGTCAGTTACTGATGAATATCTGGATAAGAAAGAAGAGCACGTGCAAAAATTGTGTAGCTATAGCAGTATACAGTGTGTTAGGTGGATGAGTTGTACAGGGAGATGGCCACAGGCAAGGATGGTTTCCTGTGTCGTTCAGGTGCTTTTTGGTAATCTCAGTCTCTCACTGGACGTGCTCCTGTGGCTAGCCAGCACGTCATGGAGTGGGTGGGAGGAATTATCCAACATTGCTGCCAGAGTTTGCGCCCTTGACCATCATCTGACACACATTGTACATGACCCCTAGAGTTCCCTAATGCCCTGAATGTTGTAGGGCTGTGTCGGCTGACATGCCTCTGCAATACAACTTGGAGATCTGCAGTAGTGCCACCGGATTGGCTGACTAGGGTGGTGGTTCTCATCTTTAAGAAGAGGAACTGGAGAGCGTGTGCTCCAGCACCAGGGGTCACGCTACTTAGGCTTCCTGACACCCCTGGAGAGATTATATTTCTTGGCTGGCCTGGGAATTCTTCTGTGTTCCCCAAGATGAGCTGGAGGACGTGGCTGGGAAGAAGGAAATCTGAGGTTCTCTGCTTAGGCTGTTTAGGCTGCATTCCTTCCGGACGATAATGCCCCTGATAAGAGAAACAAATGGATACTTTATGGATGGATACTCTACAATAATTTGTTTGAGGTATAGCGAGGAATTTTCATAGTTTTTGATTGCATTTCTTCCTAAATTAATAGTTTGAAAAACTCTTCCATCACTTGTCATTGTCAGCGCACAGTAAAAAAATGTTTGGTTATATATTTTATAATTATTTTATTCTAGAATTCTTCAGCCAGGAAAAAGTGCTTAAAAGTGAAGACATCCATCTGAAGTGCCGATAGTCAGCGAAAAGGTATTTTTTAATGTGATCCAAGATGTTTTTGTTTCTGTGTTTGTGGTGGTGGGCGGGCAATCATCTCTGTTTGCATTTCACTGCATGCCACTGTTCAAACTGATGTTTTAAGTTCAAACATATTCAGTGACATCAGAAAATACCACTGACTGCTATAAGATAGCCATCCCTTATTTTTTTTAATGGCTTTTCTGTTCACATTCAAAGACATGGCTGTATCTGTAAACAGAGTTACAGAATATTTGCTGGTTACTGTACAGCTGCATCTGACATGTCTGTTTTCATCCAAGTAGCTGCACCAGTCTTAGCTAGAGAACACTGAACACAAATTGTTGAACTGACATACCAGATTGTCTAGTTCCTCCATTGTCCATTTTCTAGAGCCATGTATTGCTATTCTCAGAGACAGCAGATAGTTTATTACCTAACTACCATCTAATATGTCCATTCTTTATTGTTTCTCAACAAGAACTCCAATCGTAGTTGAATTCTAACCCTATGTTTTAGAGACAAGCTGAAGATGATGCATTTTGTTTAGAAATATTTTTTTCTTGATTGCCAAGACTTTGAAAAGTGATTGAAAAAAATATAGGGATAGTGTTAGGAATAGGGTTATCCCCAGTAATTACTTAGAAAGTAAATTAAATTTATTTTAAGCCTCTGAAGCCTAAGAGCATTTAGTCTCCTTATGAAAATTCTAGGCATAGCTTTTGATTTTAGTCATCGCTTGCTGAGAACACAGTTTCAGGTCTTTTCTCTTAGTTCTTACCAGAAGTATTATTTCACTTCAATGTCTTCTTATTAACAGCAAAACTGTAACGCTTTTCAGAGTTTGTATGCTTTGGGCTGTTAACAATAGCAACATGGGAGACTTGTGAGGTGAAATAGCCAGGGTTAATTTTAAGAATAAGTTAAGAAAAATTGAAGAAATGATTATATAAAGCTAATTTTTAAGAATGCCGGAACAATAGGAAATGATAGTATCAGAAGGCTTGTAATGTATATGATTTATTTATTTTTCATTTTATCTGAGTCACTAGATTCAATTACTGCTGTGCTTGCATTTTAAAACTGTTAATTTGAAGTTGCGCTGGTGTTTTGCATGGATAGTTATTTATTACCACTGCTGTGTTTGCAGTCTAATTGGCTTCTGAACACATAAATAACGACAGCAGTGAGAACTTCCATCCAACTTGTTCTTGCTCCATTTCAGTCTCTTTCTCTCGGACTGACCTCTCTGGCATAGCAGCTATAGCCCAACAAAGCACATTAAGTTTGACACACAGAACAAACAAAGCTGTAGTCAAGGTGGACCACAGATGTTATTTCCAGGTATCTGAAAATAACACGTTATATCCCATCTAGCAGTGAAGATTGTTTAAAGGCCTGTTTTGCTCACTGGAATGAGGGCGAGCGGTTAAATTCCCTTAAGGGGTCACTTGTGCGTAAAATGTAAGCATGCTCAACTGGCTCTTTTCACTTAGCACTCTTGTGCTCATGTTAGCTATAGACCATATGACTGAAAGTGCCAGTCATATGGTCTAAGTTGTTCTTGTAAAAGTGGCACATCAGCACCCATCCCAAGACAGTTTCAGTAAAATAATAAAATAAAGTAAAATAAAATAAAGTAAAATAAAATAAAATGCAGAGCTTTTACGTCAGATTGCTTAAAAATGATTTTGGCTGATAAAGACTGGTCAAGCACATATTTCAGTGTGGATTAAACACAAAAGTTTGCTTATTTTATAACTGCTATGTAAATTACAGAACTGCACATCATTCACCCATAAGCATCTGTGGAAATTAAATGAGTATGAATACAAATAAGAATTTTGATAACATAACTAAAAGAAACAATAAATATTAAACTATTGTCTTGGTCAAAATCCTGTAAGTGAACCCTCTGTTTAATCTTCTTTTCTGATCTATGGTAAAATTGGGTTAAAAAAACACTCATTCACATTAAACCCACAGCTTGAAACACTATGCTAAATGGTACAGAGTGTATTCAAAGGGCTACATAGCTGATACATCAGCGCCTAATTGAAGCTACATTTGACACGTATTGTTCTGTTAAGCCACTGAGAATTATATGAGCCATATATTATAGCTTTCCATGGGTTGCAGCATATTTACAGGGTTGGTGGGTCTGATGTTGACACATCTTATACATGGCCTATGTAAGGTGGTCATGTGGCTCAGGGCAAATATGGCTCAAAACTGTGAATAAGGAACACATTTGGGCTGAACATTGCTATGTACAGTATACAATCTCTTCAGTTCACATTTAGTTCAGTTCAATTCAATATCAGTTCAGATTTATCTATTTAACAGTGAGTGGTGTGTAAATACATAGTAAGTGAAAAAAGCTGTTCAAGGGAAACCCACAGCAGTGTACGCCTATTGCAGTGTAACTAAGGCAGCATTCAAGGTCACATGATCAAGCCCCAATGATATGGTTATCAAAAAGGAATGTTTCATGCAAATGGAGTCTAAATGGACCATGTTTCCCACCTCTGTTGGTGAGGGGGCTGTACAGAGCTAAAGCCACAAGGCAGGAGGTTGACACTCAAAGTGAAGGGAGCCAACTGATGCAAGAATGAGTCCTATTGGGCTAAGTTAGCTTGTGGGACTCTGGAGGCAGCTGTCAGGTACAGAGGAAGCAGAGTACAACTTTGTCAGTAGCTGAAATAAAATCTTTATTAACCCCAAATTGCCAGAAGGTAAAAAAAATAATTTCCAAAAGCCAGAAATGACATGCAGTAGTTAGGCCACCCATCATCACTGATGATGACTGGTTGTTTTAAGGCTTTTCTGTTGCATTCATTGATGGCGATTAAAGGCTAAGACTAGATTCATATTTGACTTACACTCCCTGTGCAGACAGCTGAATTAATTAAAAGAGAAACATGTCTTTAATTAGACACTCATGAAAAAGATGACACTGTTAGCACTGTCAGACACCTTGTGGCATTTTGGTGCTGAATAATGTGAATATAGTGACAGATTTCACTAAAATTGTCTGTTGACTCTGCGCGCAGGGTTGCATCAAGGCCAGTGGATTTGAGTTAACATGCCTGAAATTCATTGTACTTGGAAATATTTCATCACTATTATAGTCTGAGTCAGATTTCATAGGTTTCATTTCTGCTGGTCCATCTGTCGTGTCTGTGCTAAGCCTTATATAAATGTCTATAAAGAAACTATAGACAAAAAAACCTGCCATCCTCTGTCTGTGTGAGCTTTTTCATGCAGCCCACTGTGTTGACAAAAAAGCTGATGTCTATCTGCTCCAGCTGTCTGCAAACAGGCAGACTGAAAGGAGGAGACACAATCTTTTTTCCCTCTAAACTTTGGCTTCTATTGCATCATGCCTCAATACCTTCTCACTCAGCTTTAGTCCTGCTGCTGCTGCTGAAAAGCAGCCATAAAAAAGACTTAAGCTTAAGCTTTATTGACACGCAAGGATAACACTGTCACACTAAATGCAAAAATCATTCATAATCATATTTCCTGTGGCATGATGAGTTATAATGAGTTAAGTCATTTTAACAAAGGGATGGCTTCTGTAAACAAAATGAGAGGCAAGTTCATCAAATTTTGTGGCAAGTGCTTTTTTCCTTGGTGCAGGTGTTAATTTAGAGAATGTGTTCAGATGCAGTTTTCGCTGTACACATGGAAATGAATTTGTTTCTTGTAGGCCTTCTTAAAGAGAGAACGAGGATTCACACGTTGGTTATATATAGCTTCCCGATCACTGTCTTGAGGCCATGCATGTGTCTGTAGACAGGTTTTGTCTGACCATCAGCACCTTTGTCTGTACATATAGCCAGCAATCGGTGCATGATGCTTAATTCTCTCTAGCTATCTTCTGCTATCAATTAGAGTGTTTATGGGAAGGTGCTGTCAGAGTTACCATGGCAACTAATGTCATTGGGATTACATCCCCTGCAGGCCCATGGATGGAGCACTTGCAAGTATCACTGCACAGTGCATTTTAAAGATTCAAAATCTTTACCACTTGGGGATAGAGACAAGAAGTATGAAATACTTAGTCGTGTTGGCAGACTTGTGCTATATCAATTTCTGATCTTTAAAAGTTGTGCAGGCAATTATAAATGTTGATAGAGAGCTCTGACAAGTTATAAGATATTCCAAAAGTGTCTAGGAGGCAGAAGCGCTAGTTTACTGGGAGCAAGCCTGGAATATACTTATGAATTACCTGCTCCCACACTTTTACAAGCTGCTTTAGGATTGTGTCAAATGAAACTGTCTGACTTTACAACAGGCTATTATTCTGTAACACACTTTATGACAAGAAATGCTAAGAGAATTTTGAGTCTCCAGAATCAGAACCAGAGCTGCCTTCCCGAATGCAGAGGTCACTTTTCCACTACGTAGTCACACAATTTGGCATTTTAGGGACTTGGAGCGAGTTTACATTTAACAAGAAGAGTTCTGTTACTTTGATCTGTGTTTAGGACATTTCTAATTGGCTTTGAAAAAGTATTCAGTGTATGGTATCCAGTGACCCCTATCCTCTTCCATACACAAGGGTAAAAAAGTTAAAAAAAAATAACCCTGGTAAAATAAAGAATTAGAATAACACAAACAGTAATATCAGTGACAAAAAGACAACAATATTTTTAGGTTGTCTATGGTCTGGTGACATGGAACTATATTTTTATGATGATCAAATAGTGTTTGTACTGTAGGCTGCTACTGTTTATGTGTAGTCGCTGGTAGACTTTCTTCAGCTTTGATCTGGGACTTTAAGAGAAATATATCATATTTAGACCAAAATAACTATGTTTCTGTTAGAGATGGGCTGGATGTTTGCTGCGTTCATTAATGACAACTGCTTTTGGGTCATTTCTAATAGCTAACATTAATGTGAGCGTTGGCCAGGTAAACATTTATAGTACCTGCTTGATACTTCCATGTTTTTGAAAGGGAAGCTGTACTCACTCCTCAGAATTCCCCATGAAGTGTTGTTCAGT